GGCGCTGCGCTGCGCGGCTCAGGCCCGGCCCTCGGCAATGCGGACGTCGGCGCATCGTGTGTGGCTGCTACCCGTCCTCACGCGCTGGCGGTGCAGGGCAGGTTTTTTCCCTGCAGTTCACCGGCATTCTGTTGGTCGTGAACGGCCCCCTCGTCTGAGGCCGTTTCTCCAGCAAGCTGCTACCTGGTCGTGGTTTGGACTACCACCCCGGGCCTCTCCCGCATCGCCCGGTGGCACAACGTTGCACATCGCCTTCGCGGTGCTCCTTTTCTTCCTGGGCGTCGACCTGGTCAAGTGGCACGTCCCCCTCTGCAGCGCTTGAGGCTGGTGTTCGTGATGCGCCGTCGACGGCAACACCTTCTCCTCCACCCTCCGGGTCTTCGCCCCCGGTGCCAGTCCGCGGCGCACCTGCTCCTGCGCATCAACTTCGGCGCCGCCTGCGCCCCAGGGCCTCGCGCACTCCGGCCGCTTGAGGCCCCGCCTTCCTGTGCCCTGTCTCCCTAATTAAAGCTGTGCGTAGCCCGCCTAGCTTCTAGCGGAAGAGGCTCGCTCTCGCCCCGCAGAGCCAGAAGTGTGTATGTATGTACGTGCGCATGTATGTATGCATGCACGTGTGTATGTATTTGCTCATGTATTAGCACATGTGCGAGGAAAGGGGATTCATTTGGCCTGACGAAGGGCCCAACCCTGTGCAGTTTCGTGTGGCGCAGGGCGCGGCTCAGCCTTCATATACTGCGCGCCGCGGGGCAGACCGGATTGGGGGCCGCTGCGGAGGTAGCGCGCGAGGGCACGCTGAGCTCCCTGTGGGGCGCGATCCGCGTGCAGGGGATGGGGCCCGCGCGAGCGCGCCCATGGAGGCTGTAGGTGGAGCTTCTTGTGGAGCGCGATCCGCGCTTAGCGGCGCCGAAACGGGCGTGGGGGCGCCATGAAAAGTTTTCCATGCGTGCCATAGATTGAGATCCTTGCGGGGTACGATCCGCGTCAGGGGTGTGCCGAAATATGCGGAGGGACGCCATGCGACCCCTCCTGTTGGAACCGTCGGTGGAGCTCCCTGTGGGGTGCGATCCGTGTGAGATGTGTGCCGACATGGGCGTGGGGACGCCATGCGAACCTTCAAATCCGGGGCGGTAAGTGGAGCGCCCTTTGGGCCACGATTCATGTCAGGGGTGTGCCGTTATGGGTGGAGCGGATCCGAACCTTTCTCTGAAGCTGCCGGTTGAGCTCCTCGTGGGCCACGATCAGTTTGAGGGGTGAATTGACATATGCGGGGGGACTCTATGCGAATCCTCTCAGTGGTGCCGTACGTGGAACTCTCAATGGGGCACGTTCCGTGTGAAGGGTGTGCCGCGAATTTTGATTTTGGCACCGTAAGTGAAGCTCCCAAAAGGGCACGATCCGTGCGAGGGGCCTCCCGCAATTAGCCGGGCGACGCTGTGAGCTCTGAGTTTGTCTAGGGCCGTAGGCTGCGCTCCCTGGGGGACACGATCGGGGTAAAGAGTGTGCCGAAATGGGCTGGTGGACGCTGTGCGATCTTGCCTGCCTCTTTTGCCTTCTTCTGTTCATTCTGCCTCCAACCGCCCCTGCCCGAATCTTTTCTCATCCTTCCTTCCGCCTGTATCCTCGCTTCTCCCTCCTCCCTCTTCCCCACCCAGTTCTCTGTCCTGCCTGCCTTTGTTAGCGAAATAGGGCCGATGGCACTTGCGGTTCTCAGTCTGGGTTCCCCACTGTGGAAATCTGATCCGTTTGAGCTTAGTCATTTCCTTTTGAATAGTATGACGCACATCTGTGTTCGCAGTTGTGCGTGTGCACGCCCGCTGCCGTTTTGTGTCAGGCACCTTCTGATACCATGTCTCGCGAAAAAGATGCCTCCCTTCTTTGAGCGGTGGGAGGGACAGGGGTGGTGTTCAGGTGTTGGCCACGGACAACAAGGATCTCTCACGCGCCTCTTGGGGTCGGCGGATTGCTGCTCCTCCCGTCTCCCTCCTGCTGCTTCTCCTCCGCCTCGTCCTCCACTGTCTCCTCCTCGCTGCCTGCTCCATTCCTGCCTCTGTTCCCCCTCTCCCCGCCCTCCTCTCCCCTCCTGCTCTTGCCCGTGCTGGTGATCCCCCCCCAGAACCGCACTAGACCCCCGCGCAAGAAGGATGCGGATAATGAGGAAGATGAGGCGGAGGAAGAAGAGGCGGAGGAGGATGATGAGGAGGAGGATGAAACATATGAGGAAGGAGCGTAAGACTACTACTAATGATACCGGAGAAAAAACCCAATCATATTTTTTGTTGGGGCAATGGGGCTATATGGGCTATATGGCTATAGGGGTATAGTGATATAGGGTTATTGGGCTATTGGGCTATTGGGGCTATAGAACCTTAGGGCTATAGGGCTATAGGGCTATAGAGCTATAGGGCTATAGGGCTACAGGGCTCTAGAGCTATAGGGCTCTAGGGCTCTAGAGCTATAGGGCCATAGTGCTATACGGCTGTAGGGCTATAGGGCTATAACGCTATAGGGCTACTGGGCTATTGGGCTATTGGGCACCCCGGGGCACCCCGGCACCCCCGGGCACCCGGGCACCCGGGCACCCGGGCCCGGCCACCGAAATCGGCGACAAACCTCACCGGCCACCCGGGCACCCGGGCACCGCCAGGCACCCGGGCACCCGGGCACCCGGACACGCGGGCCCGGCCACCGAAATCGGCGACAAACCTCACCTAACCCTTTAATCCGCTAGGACCCCTACAGAGGCGAGCTCTGATTGGGGAAGTATTAGTATCTTTCACATAGTAAGAACACGAGTACTAACGACAGTAATACGAATATTAACATTACGAAGGCTAATAGTTATAGGAATAAGAAGAAGGTTGAAAGTTATAAGAATACGACTTATACTACTCTGTAGAGTAATAATACGAATAACGCTAATAACAATAATACGATGACGAGTACTAGCAACACTACGGCTAATAACAAAAGACTAAGACGACGAAGCCCACGACGACTACTACTACTATTTCTATTACTACTACTACGAGCCGTACTAGTAGTACGAACAATACTAATTCCTCTGCGATTGATACTACAACCAAGACTAATATTACTAACAACACGAACAGGACAATCACGACTAATACGTCGACGAACTCGAGTTGCAAACCTTGGTACTACTAAGAATAGTACTCATAACAATACTGCGAGTTATAATACGATCGTTATGTACAGTGCTACACATACGAGTACTATTAATAAGACGAAGCAGCATGACACTCTGACTAAGGATAATAGTGTCAGTAAATTATTCCTATTAGGAGGATGATTAATGAAACGAATCGTAATATGAAGAGGCACGTTACGACGAAACATAAGAACACGGACGTGACTAATACGGACATTAAGAACATAAACAGGTGAATCAGAATACGAGTGGTAAAACTGATAACAACTGAGGAGAAGAAACCAGCTTACTATCACTTCAGGATGCACAGAGTTTTAATACGAACACGAACAAGAGGATGATACCATTCATAATCGTAGTAAGAAAACTACTACTACGAACACGACCACCAATATCAATAACGAAAGCACGAATGATGCTCTGCATGCTATTACTGATCTTACCAGTACGAGTAACACTATTACGACTACCACACATACTCATACTATTAATGATGTGAATGATCCTGCCACTAGTAAGAGTACTTCTAATACTCCTAAATTTATCAGTATTTAGAGTGCAGCCACTACTAATCGTACTGTCAGTATTATTAAGGCAGCTACTAATAATTCTGTTCACATTACCAATCATGCTATTCACATGTTATGACTATTACTACTCGTACTAGTAATACGACTACTACTACTACTACTACTACTACTACTACTATGAATACTAATCATACTTGTAATACGACCAATACTTATATGGTATTAATATAAATACCACTGGTATTGTACATACGGATAATACAAATACGAATGATAATAATGGTATCAGTTCTGTGGTCAATGAAGTTAAGACTAATGATAGTAGTGATAAGATGACGAAGATCAGGATAAAACGGAAAGGAGGAGGAGGACGAGGAGGAGGAGGAGGACGAGGAGGACGACCAGGAGGAGGCGGAGGAGGGGGAGGAAGAGGAGGAGGAGAAGGAGATGGACCTTACAACGGAGATGAGGAGGAGGAGGAGAAGGAGGAGGAGGAGGAGGAGGAAGAGGAGGGAGGAGGAGGAGGAGGAGGACGCGGAGGAGATGGAGGAGGAGGAAGAGGAGGAGGAGGAAGAAGAGGAGGGAGGAGGAAACGGAGGAGGAGGAGGAAAAGGAGGAGGAGGAGGAGGTGGGAGGGGGGCACCCCTCCGTCTTGCCATCTCTCGGGCAGCGTTCGTCTCGATGTTCCCATCTTCGACACCTCCTGCGGCCACTCCCTCGACAAAACCGTCTTGAGATGGATCTTAAAACGGAGACGAGGAGGAGGAGGAGGAGGAGGATCAGGAGGAGGAGGAGGAGGAGGAGGGAAGAGGAGGAGGAGGAGACGGAGGAGGAGGAGGAGGAGACGGAGGAGGAGGAGGAGGAGGAGGAAAAGGAGGAGGATGAGGAAAAGGGAGGAGGAGGAGGATGAGGAGGAGGAGAGGGGAGGAGGAGAGGGAGACAGAGACAGAGGAGGAGGAGGAGGAGGAGGAGGAGGAGGAGGAAAGAGAGGAGGAGGAGGAGTAGGAGGAGGAGGAGGAGGACGAGGAGCAGGAGGAGGAGGAGGAGGAGGAGGAGGAGGAGGAGGAAGAGGAGGAGGAGAAGGATGAGGATGATGAGAAGGAATGTTGTCTCTCCACATGTCTTATGTTGCTCACATGTCGCTCGATCTATGAACTGTGCGGAGCTCGCGCTGAGGAAACATATGATGAGGAGATGGCCGCCGCGGCGGCACGGCGGCAGCGGTGGCGGCGGTCCGTTGGGCGGGCGGTCTTCGCGGCACTGCCACGTCGGCGGCCACGGCACGGCTTGCTGCTGTGCAGGCGGCCCCTCCGTCAGCCTCGCCGCTGGGCTGCTGGCGGGCGCCCGCCTGATTGCGGCGTCCCGCCCGGCGCCAGGGCGCCGCCCGCCGCCCGCCGCCCGCCGCCACATGCCGCCGCCACACACCGCCCGCCGCCACCAAGCACCGCCCGTCACTGTCGCAGCTGTCGCCGCGGTCGTCGCCGTGGTCGTCGTCGCCATCGTCGTGTTGGTGGTGGTGGTCGTCGTCGTCGTGGTCGTTGTCGTCGTGGTCGTCGTGGTCGTCGTCGTCGTCGTCGTCGTCGTCGTCGTCGTCGTCGTCGTCATCGTTTCCCTCGTCATTGGCTTGGTGGTGGTGGTCGTCGTCGTCTCCCTGCTCCTCCACGTCGGTTTCTGGCCTACGGGCTTCCTGTCGCTGCGGCTGGACGCGGCTCGGAAAAAGGGTTAGGATAGTGCTTGGGAGGTGTCCATAGTTCTGAGCGAATTTTTCGGCCTGGGGGTCGGGGACGTTGATATCTGGGTGCCATGACACCACCACGACGGGCCTCTTTGTTGGTCCGCCAAGCCGCCAGTGGCCCCGCAGCCCTGGCGGGTCGGCCTGTCTCGGGAAATCACGCACCGAGACAGGGTTGGGTCGGGCACGCCAAGGGCACGGGGCGAAGACACATCGAGACAGCGCTGAGTCATGCAGGCCAAGGGCCTGGGGAGAAGATAAATCGCAACCAGAGCGATCAGGATCGCCCTCATAGCGCTCCAGAACGTCGGCAACGCCCTATGCATCCTCCAGATTCCAGGTCTCTCTCTCTCAGAGATTACTGCTTTGTACCATCCCGATTTTGCCTTCCTCCTTTCCCCCACATCTGGCGCTTCGAACGTATGATTGTTTCACTCGCGGCCCCAGAGCTCTAGACCCACTTCCAGGGAGCAGTTTTGTGTTTTCCATCCCTTTGACGGAGGGGGGTGGAAATAACCCCCCCCCTCCCCACATTCGTTTTCTAATCGTTGCCCCCCCCCCCCCCCCCCCCCCTACCTTGCCAAAGGCACCTCAGAAGGAATTGGACGCCAGAGACTCCCAGGGGCCGCACCCGCACTCACCACCAGGACTTCCCCAACCAGGATTTCCTCCCCATCCCGTCCCCCTCCCTTCAGTCTCAGCTGTTTGTTTGTCTCGCAGTCACAGTGCATGTCCGAATCTTCCAAGAGGCTGTGGCCTCCCCATCTTGGTTTCAATGAGGCCCGGACAGTCGTCCGCAAAGGTGGTCCGTTCGTTCGCTTGTTCGGGAGTCTCCGTACCACACGGCGGCCCCCCGACCGCTGTCCCAGAATCCCCCCTGCTCTCAACCTGAAATGGCCTCGGGGACCGAACAAAAACTGCCTCCAGAGGCCGAGAGAGAGACGACGGGTCTGAACCAGTTCGATCCTTCGGATGTCTGGGCCCCCCTCTCGCGAGAGCTGGCCGCGGCTCTCGAGAGCCCTCTCGCCGAACCCGCGGCCGCCTCCGCCCCGCGCTCCGAAGCCGCCGCCCCGGCGCCAGGCGTGCCAGGCGCGGGGCGCGCCGCCAGCAGCTGCGCGCCCGGGGCGGCAACGTGGCGACGGAGCTCCGGCCCGCCGACGTGCAGGCGGCCATCCTCGGCACTTCGGGGGGCGTCGTTGCCGTCGGTTGTCGTCGCGTCCTCCTCTTCCTCTTTCTCCTCCTCCTCCGTCTCTTTCTTCGGTTCCCTCCGCAGCCCTCCTCCTCCGTCTCCTTTTCGTGCCGTCGTCGTCGTCGTCGTCGTCGTCGTCGTTGTCGTCATCATCGTCGTCGTCGTCGTCGCGACCGCGCCCGCTCCCGCTGATGGGCAGGCGGCCTCCGCTCTTCTTCAGAAGTTGAAGAGTAATACTGTATTGATAATGATAATACCGGCAATCACGATGATAATACCAATAACAATAACAATAGTAATATTAGTAAGACCAAGACGAATCATAGCATTAATCATTCGAATACTCACAGTACTCAGAATGCTAAAAAAGAGGTTCCCGTTTTTGGCATCCAGTGGCCATTTCCTGGCCCTGGGGCCCCCAGGAATTGGCCAACATGGAACGGCTCGACGATCGAAGAGCCGCCTATCATTCAAGATTGAACGAGCCACGCGGTGTCAGAAACCACGGTCGGGGTCGTCACGGCACGAACTTGCCGTATTCGCCGTACAGCTTCGGGTCGCACCAGGACCAAGAACAACACTGGCTTTGGAGGGGTACCCCGTGTACTTCGTGCTTGGGCTCTCTCTTCCCGGGGCGTGCTCTTCGTTCGGTGTATCTCCGTGGGCCCTGGGCCTTCGGCGAGGGAGTTGTGTTCTTGGCCTGCGGTCCGGTGGCAACTTCTCGATTGCATCTTTTTGCCCCATCTGGGGGCGTCGTCGTCGTCGTCGTCGTCCTCCTGCTCTCGCATAGCAGGAATGGATCATGGGGGTTGTAGTCGTGGTAGTAGTGATTTTTGTCGTCATCTTCGTCATCGTGGTCGTCTTCGTCGTCGTGGTCGTCTTCGTCGTCGTGGTCGTCATGGTCGTCGTGGTCGTCTTCGTCGTCGTGGTCGTCTTCGCCGTCGTGGTCGTCGTCGCCGTCGTGGTCGTGGTCGTCGTCGCCGTCGTTGCCGTCGTCGTCGTCGTCGTCGTCGTCGTCGTCGCCGTCGTCGTCGTCGTCGTCGTCGTCGTTGTGTCGTTGTCGTGCTGCTGCTGGAGAGCAGGAACCGGCATGAGCAGCTCAGGTCGGTGCGAGTTTCTCAGGTCGGCGCTGCGCCACCCTCCTCACATCCCCAGGCGGCACCTCGCGCTGCCCCTGTCGCGCTCCGCCCGCCGCCCAGGGGTGAGGGGAGGGGGTCCAGCGCCGACCCAGGAGATCTACGCAGACCTCCGGCGGCTCATGTCCGTGCAACATATTTGTTCTCCTATTCTCCTCCTCCTAGTGTTCTCGTCTCTTGGACCTCCCTCGGCCGCGCCACGGCTGGGCTCTGGTCGGAGAACGGGGCTACGACGGTGTGCGGATTGAGGGTCCAGGGATGATGCCATGAGGTGTGTGGTGTCGGTTTTGAGCGGATCATGGGCAGGAAAAGGTTTGCCATGAAGCTGACAGAAATGAGTCCTGCGTGAGAAGAGTCCTGAGATTGGTCGCCGTTGTCGGCCTCTGGGGTCCCTCCAGGGCCCGGGGATCGACACAGAAACGACTCAGGATGACAAGCGGATCCAAATGAACGCTCTGGGGTCCAGGATTCAGGGTTTTTGCCCTATAGCATAGTAGGTGGACGTCAATAATCGATGACGCCTGCGGCGAGGCACCGCCGGCGCCCCCTGCCTCTCTGGAATTGCCTATGTGTCCAACGTGCTGGGGCACGGGGTGGCCCTCTGGAGCCGTCTGGGGGCAGTCCTCGGGCTCTTTCCAAGCCTTCTGAGCCTTCTTCGGGGCCTGCTGGGGCCAATCTTGGGCCATCTCGAGGTGCTCTGGGGCCGACTTGGGACTTGGGGCACTCGTGGGCCGTCTGGCGCGTTCGTATTTGACCGTTCGTGGGTCTCCCAGGTCTCCTACCAAATTACGCAGGAGAACTGAGGACCTGGGATACTCAGTAACGAATGGGCGAAGTGCCTATATGATCGAGTTCGTGCCAGCTTCACTACAATTGGGGACATTTTGGAATGTCCACGCGACGCTTCAGAATGGAAGTATCTTATGTTGTGTGTTTATCAGAAGATGTGACGTGATGCCAGATCGCTTTCCTGCCGAGAGAGCGAGCGAGAGAGAGAGAGGGCTTGAACCAAATACCAATGGCATTCGACAAACTTGTAACACAGTCCAGAGCGTATTGGGCAAACCGAACTGGCTTGAGCCAAACACCAATGGTATTCGGCAGACATGTAAAACACTCTGCAGCGTATGGGGCAAACCGAATTGCATTCCGCCTGGTGAAACTGCCCACAGCTTGCGTCGAAGTCTGTATTAGGCATGTGGAGTCGACGACGTTTGAAGACAATTAAATGTAGTTTCGCACCGTATGGATGATGTTGTTGCTCATGTGATCTTCAGAGGTGCGTATACACAGCACGCCTGTTTAAAACATGTGATGCCGCCCTGCCCGTTCTTTTCCATTTTTTTGTTCTCCATATTTTCCAGCCGCACGCGATGTAAATAAAGAGTCGGGTGACGCGCCGCTGCTCCCGTAAAGTGGAGAGTAAAGGCTGGCACCGTCTCTTTTCGCCCACGCGCTCCGGCGTATGGCTTGTTTGACTGACTTGGGGGACTCTCTGGGCCGTCTTGGGGCAGCACTGCGGCTCTCGAATGCCTTCTTAGGGCCCTCTTAAGCCGTTATGCCTGTCTTGGGCGCCTCCCGGGGCCGTCGCGGACGCTGCAAAGCCCAAAAACGCCAGCTTTCGGGACTTGACTCGGGGGTGGCGCGATATGCCGAATGGCCGGTGGGAGCCCCATGGAAGGGCAACGACATTATTTTTGAATCTGGCACGCCAAGCGCCCCTGTCGCAAGCACCAGGGGCGGCGGATCGAAGATGCATGTGGCGACTGACCGCCGCCCACTGCCTTTTGGAAGCACTTGTGTCGTGAGATGTCGAGCTGAACTGCGGCCACGCTAGTGGACTGTATGTTCGCCCACCCGTTGCGGAAATCCATTGGGGAAGCAGTAGGGAGGAGCTTTCTAGGGCCATCTCGGGGCTGCCTTGGGGATCTTTTCTGGCTTTTTCCCAACCCTCCTGTGTTGGGTACTCGTTTTGAATAGAGCACTGTGGTGTGGTCTCCACCTTCCTCCTCCTCCCGCCTCCCGCCTCCTCTCTCCCCTCTTCGTCTCTTCTCTTGCTCTTACCTCCTCACCCTCTTCTCTTCGCTCCTCCTCTCCTCGCTTGCTTTTTACCTATCTTTACCTCGCCATCTCTGGGGCGCTGCGATCTGTGAAACTGTCGCCACTTTCGAGGGCTGCTGGGGTGGCCAGCGAAATGACGCCCCACGGGGACTCAGATTAGACCTCGCCATCCCTGGGGGGCTGCGATCTGTGAAACTGTCGCCACTTTCGAGGGCTGCTGGGGTGGCCAGCGGAGTGACGCCCACGGGGACTCAGATTAGACCTCGCCATCCTGGGGGGCTGCGATCTGTGAAACTGTCGCCACTTTCGAGGGCTGCTGGGGTGGCCAGCGGAGTGACGCCCTACGGGGACTCAGATTAGACCTCGCCATCCCTGGGGGGCTGCGATCTGTGAAACTGTCGCCACTTTCGAGGGCTGCTGGGGGGCCAGCGCAGTGACGCCCACGGGGACTCAGATTAGACCTCGCCATCTCTGGGGGGCTGCGATCTGTGAAACTGTCGCCACTTTCGAGGGCTGCTGGGGTGGCCAGCGGAGTGACGCCCCACGGGGACTCAGATTAGACCTCGCCAGAAACTGTCGCCACTTTCGAGGGCTGCTAGGGTGGCCAGCGGAGTGACGCCCCACGGGGACTCAGATTAGACCTCGCCATCCCTGGGGGGCTGCGATCTGTGAAACTGTCGCCACTTTCGAGGGCTGCTGGGGTGGCCAGCGGAGTGACGCCCTACGGGGACTCAGATTAGACCTCGCCATCCCTGGGGGGCTGCGATCTGTGAAACTGTCGCCACTTTCGAGGGCTGCTGGGGTGGCCAGCGCAGTGACGCCCTACGGGGACTCAGATTAGACCTCGCCATCCGTGGGGGGGCTGCGATCTGTGAGACTGTCGCCACTTTCGAGGGCTGCTGGGGTGGCCAGCGGAGTGACGCCCTACGGGGACTCAGAATAGACCTCGCCATCCCTGGGGGGCTGCGATCTGCGAAACTGTCGCCACTTTCGAGGGCTGCTGGGGTGGCCAGCGGAGTGACGCCCCACGGGGACTCAGATTAGACCTCGCCATCTCTGGGGGGCTGCGATCTGCGAACCTGTCGCCACTTTCGAGGGGTGCTGGGGTGGCCAGCGGAGTGACGTCATACGGGGATTCAGATTAGACTTCGCCATCCCTGGAGGGCTGCGATCTGTGAAAATGTGTCATTTCCCGCGGGCCGCCCGCAGACCTGGCGGCGCGCCTGCGAACGTTCAGCTCCCGCACTAAATGTGCAGGGGTGAGGCGGAGAAGCTAGCGGGCGAGCTAAGTCTCGCTCGCTTCTTGCACTTACTATAAGCAGGTTTGAGCCTGTGGAACGCTGCGACGACATGGCGCAGGCAGCGCTCAGTGTTTAGCGTGTACCTGAAAACGCGGCGCTTTTCTGTCTCCTCCCGCCACCTTCATTGTCGTCCTATTCCCCGCTTCACCTGCTCCATGCATGCTGCTGCTGCCGCGATGGCCTTTCGCCCCCCCATTCCATCCTCCTCCTGCCCCTCGTTCCCGTCCCCGTTCTTCTTCGAGCCTGGGGCCTCGATCCTCGTTCTTTCGATCGTCGTCCTGTGAGTCGTGCAACGCATGCGCGTCCCATGTAGATTGCGCAACAAGTCACCGTGTCTACATTGTCGTTGTTCCTGCTAATGTTGGCCTACTCCTCTTGCCACTTGATGCACATGGGTTGGGTACGTCGCAGGGTAATTGGGGGCCTCCTGGGGCCCACTCGGGCCATCAAGGCTCCCCAAGAGTTCATCAGGGCGGCCCCGTGGGACCGTCTTAGGACATATTGGAAGTGTGGATTCCAAACTATGCTCCAGAGGCTTCGGGAAATTGACGACCCGAGAGAACAGAACGCCCAGGAGCGCCCAAGAATTCCAGAAATCCGGGGTCCGGGCAATTCGAAAGGACACGAGGTCATTCCTTTCAGTGTCTCCGACACGGTGGCGGATGCGACCACCGATTCCTGCCAGGCCTATCCTTGGCCCAGACACATGACGTGGCAGGCTTTGGCGGGCCCCCTGGGCCCCAGGCCCCGCCGATATCTAGACTGGCCTTTCTCCGAGTACCGTCAACCCGCATAGTAATGATGAATCACTTTCCAAGATTACCCTTGCATCTTTCCCTTTGGCCCATCCGTGGCTGTCTTCGATGGCCGCGCCCCGCCAGAAAAGTGTCGACACGGCCTTCCAAGGTTCTTGCATCCTTATCGTGCGTCCTGACTGTGCGGGTGGTTTGTGCACACCTGCACCGCTCCTGGATGGTGCAGTGCTGCGGCTTGTTGTCTTTGTGCTCCGCCTCCTTCCCGACGACCCCTCCGGGCCCCAGGCCCCCCCGATATCTAGATTTGCCTTTTTCCGAGTAGTCAGGGTGTTTATGCTGTTGCGCGGCGAAGGCCCAGGCGAACGGGGAGGCCAAGGCCCACGAGTTCGCGGCCGAGGCGCGGCAGGCCGCGAAGCTGCGGGCCGAGAAGGACAGGGCGGCCCGACTGGGGGGTCGTCGGGGAGGAGGCGGAGCACGAAGACTGCAAGCCGCAGCACTGCACCGTCCAGGAGCGGTGCAGGCGTGTACAGTCAACCCGTGTAAGAAGGACGCGCGGTAAGGATGCACGGGCCTTGGAAGGCCATGCCGACACTTTGCGAGCGGGGCACGGCCGACGAAAGTGGCCATGGATGGACCGAAGAGGCAAGGATGCAGGGGTACCCTTGGGAAGGTTGCCCGTCATTACTCTGCGGGTTGACTGTAGTAGTCAGCTGTCTCCCAGGTCTGCCCGTCAGTCCGTCCCTCGGTCGCTCTGTCCGTCTTGTCCGTCACGCTTCGACCGACGCCGTGCGTCGCTTCCCGCTCTTCGGCCTCCCTCCTCCGCCTCCCTCCGCCGCCGCCGCCCTTTGCTCTTCGTCCTCTGAGTCCGCCGCCCTCTATGCCCCTTCCGCCCTCGAAGCGTTCTCGTGTCCTGCAGGGCACTGGCTGGCTCGGAGCCACTCTCGGCGCCCTGCCTCGACCACCTCTTGCGATCTTGGGCCCCTTCTTGCGGGCCGTCGGCTTCGCTGGACGGCCCGCCCCCCTCTCCCCCTGGTGGGCACGTTGCCGGTGCGTCATCGGCAACTACTCCCAAAAACGACCTCTGCCGTAGGCCGCGGCACCTCACGGTTGCGCTTTTTCGGGCGTCGCGCAAGTGTGCTCCCCTCGCATCTCTCTTCTCCTAAACCTTTCCCTCTCCTGTCCTCCTTCCTGGTCTCCTCCGCCTTGGAGGCTACGGCAGACACTGTCCGCATTGGCGTTCGTTCGTTTGCCTATCCACCTCTCCCTATTCCTCATGGCCCCCCTCTCTCACACCCTGCTCTCTGCAATCTGCCCTCTCCGCCCTCTCTCTCTGCTCTCTTCCCCTCTCCTCTCCCTTTATTTTGCTCGAACAGAGATTTAGTTAACATCCTAGACCCAGGGTAAATGGGATCCACGGGGCACTGCAGGTGAAGCATTCTGCTATTATTCTTCGGAGATGGGGTCTCCGCATATTACCCAGCATCACCACCAGCTCGAGTGTCATTGCGGGCTCTCGCCCACTCCCACACCACCCTCATAGCAATGGAAGGCTCGATTGTCATTGCGGGCCCCGCCCACTCCCATAACTCTCCCCATGACATTGGGTATCTCGAGCGTCACAGCGGGCACACATCTACTCATGTCCCCCACAACACTGGCAAGCTCGAGCGTCATCGCGGGCACCCGCGTGACCCTTCCAGCTCATAAGGAACATCCTTCGGACTGCGGAATTACGTCCATCACGCAAACTCATTTTGTTGGGGGGGCTTTGTTTCATACCAGCTCCTGGGAAGAGCAATCATAATGGAGCGCATTTCCTGAGTGTGAGTGAGCATCCGGCCAGGGCGCGTGGAAGGAAGTTGCGAATTTTAGGGCCTTTCTGGCCATGGCGTCTCGGAGTAAGTCGTGAGGGAGTATCGAGCGGGAGCCGTTGTTGTCGTAGCTGGGCCTTGAAGTGCTGGACATGGGGCATAAACCCGCTTTCGAGTGGGAGCTTCGTTTTCCGAGAAATTGTAGCCAGCGTCGAAGCGAGAGCGCCCAGAGCCGTGTCAATGTATCAGTAATTGTTATTTCTTAGATGTGAGTATTCGATGCCGACCCGGCAGGCGAAGACTGAGCCGACGAGGACGACGTTTCTCGGCGGCGGTGTTTTGGCGACATCGTTTCGACGGCGACGCTTCGACGATGGCGGCGGCGGCTGTGTCGACGGCAGCGACGGCGGCCACCGCCGGGAAGGCCACGACGGAGGCACCCGCGGGCGTCGAGGACAACGCGATGATCGCGAGTGCGCCCGCGGGCGAGGCGCTGGCCACGGGGGGCGAGGTCGCGGCGGCCGCGGCGGAGGAGTGCCTTGCCTTGCCGCGAAGAGGGAGACGGCTACGACAATGATGACGACCACGACGATGACGACGACGACGATGATGATGATGATGATGATGGCGATGATGACAGCGACGACCACCACGACGAAGCTGACCATGATGATGACGATGACGATTATGACGAGGCTGGTGATGATTCTGGTAATGATGACGATGATGACGATGCTGCTGCTGCTGATTATGATGATGACGATGATGATGATGATGATGATGATGACGATGCTGATGATAATGATGCAGGAGATGATGATGACGAGGACGACACAGATGATGGTGATGCTGATGTTGACGCTGATGTCGATGTTGATGACGGCGATGATGAAGAAGACGATGGCGATGACGATGACGATGACGATTATTCTTATGATGATGAAGATTATGATGATGATTATGGTGCTGATGACGACGATGATGCTGATGACACTGATGATAATGATGTTAATGACGGCAAGTACGACAAAGATGATGATGATGGTGATGATGAGGACGATGGCGATGATGACGACAATGATGATGATGATGATGATGATGATGATGATGTTGTTGTTGACAACGATGATGACGATGATGATGCTGATGATGATCTGGATGCTGATGCTGATGATGACGTGGATGCTGATGATGATGAGGATGATGAGTATTTTGATGATGACGATGCTGATTATGATGTGCTCAATGATGATACTGATGATGATGCTGTTGATGATGAGGATGAGGATGATAGTGATGACGATGATAACGACGAGGACGATGACGCTGATGATGATGATGATGATGATGATGATGACGACGTGGGTAATGACGACGATGGCGATTCTGATGATGATGCTGATGTTGATGAAGGTGATGAAGATGAATATGCTGATGGTGATGATGATGACGATGACAGTGTTGATGCTGTCGATGACGATGTCGATAATGATGATGACGACACTGACGATGCGGATGCAGATGCTGCTCATGATGACGATGATGTTCGTGATGACGATGACGGCGAACATGCTGATGATGATGCTGATGATGATACTGACGACGGTGATGATGCTGTTCCTGATGATGATGATGCTGTTGATGATGATGATGCTGATGATGATGATGATGATGACGCTGGTACTGATGTGATGATGATGCTGATAATGGTGATGATGGTGATGATGATGCTGCCGATGATAATACTGATCGTGATGATGATGGTAACGACGACGACGAGGCTGATGACGATGATGCTGACGACGACGATGATGATGATGACGATGATCCTGCTTCTGATGATGCTGCTGATGCTGATGCTGATGCTGATGCTGCTATTGATGACGACGATGATGAGGATGCTGGTGCTGATGCTGATGCTGATGCTGATGATGCTGCTGCTGATGATGATGATGATGATGATGATGATGATGATGCTGTATATTATTTTTGTGCTGACGATGACCGCGACGATGATGACGACTATGATGACAACGATGATACTGATGCTGTTGATGATGCTGATGCTGCTGATGATGGTGCGGATGATGACGATGAAGATGATGCTGATGCTGATCATGATAGTGATGATGATGATGTTGTTGATGCTCATGCTGATGCTGACCATGCTGCTGATGATGATGCTGATGATTATGAATCATGAGGGTGTTGATGGTGATGACGACGATGCTGCTGGTGCCATGGTACTGCTGACGACGGCGGTGTTTCTTGCGATGATGATGCTGATGCTGCTGATGCTGATGATGATGATGCTGATGATGATGCCCATGATGCTGATACTTTTGACGATGCTGTTGACGATGTTCATTGCGATGGTGATGGGGATGATGTTGACAACGTTGACGACGCTTCTGATGATGCTTGCATTGATTCTGTTGGCGATGACGATGACGTTGCTGCTGCTGATGGCTCTGATTATGTCAGTGATGATGACGATTCCGACGTCGACGACCACGTTTGTGATGGTGGTGACTGTGGTTCTGAGGATCAGGAGCGGGGGGCATCATGTTGGTTGTGATAGCGACGGTGAGGATGACTGTGCCACGATGGTGATCACACGATACATATTATGATGGCGGCGTCGGTGGTGACGATTGTGAGGTTGGTCGTCATGAGGGAGGTGACGTTGATGATCGTGGTGCTGATCTCTGTGATATTGATGATGTCAAGGATGGCGAGTCTGACCATGGCGTCGGCGAGTCTAACTATGATGGTGATGATGCTGCTGATGATGAGGAGGAGGAGGAGGATAATGATGATGAGGATGGTGAGGAGTAGTGTGATGATGAGGAGGAGTACGAGGATTACTATGAGGATGGATATGCATGCCATTCGAAGGCTCCTTCTTCTCCACCCACGGGCCAGGACGACGAGGACATGTCCTCTCGCCTGCGCTTCATCGCACCGCTGCTTCCGCTCGCTGTCTTCCCGCTGGTGCAGGCCGTGCCGGGGGAGGAGGAATCGCTCCCCCGCCTCTTCCTCCTCCTGCTCATCATTCTCCTTCTCCTTCTCCTTCTCCTTCTCCTCCTCCTCCTCCTCCTCCTCCTCCTCCGTCGCCATTTTGGCTCGAGCTGCATTGCTCTCCAGAGTGCAAAGTGGATACCGCTGATCCGCGGCAGCCAAGGCGTTCGTCTGGCTTTCTTTCTTCTTCCGCATTGCTGGTCTGCCTCAGTCGTTGCGTTGCCTCCAGTTCCCGCTGGTGAGCAGATCCCTTTCGGTATATGCGAGGGCTCCTGCCGCTGCAGCAGCTGCTGCTGCTGCTAGCTATCACAATGGTCAGTGCCCCCTTCCCCGTGAAGGAAGTCAGGCTCTTCGTCTCGAAGCGGCACCCACTGGCGTGATCTGGAGTCGTGGGACATCGGGGGCTGGACGGTTGTCGGAGCGAATGGCCTGGGGCCCGCCTGTGCTCGTTGTTGCTGCAAGAGGAACCCGAAGGAAAGTATTTTCTTTAAGGCGTGCGGGCATAAGTTATCAGATGTCGTGCTAACCCCTGTCAAGGAACCTGGCGGTGTGTGGTCGGGTTCGGGTCTGCCTGAGTCGGGCAAGGTCTACAGGAACACGGGCGGGAAGGCTGGTGGTCATGGCAAAGGGTAAACGGAATAACGGCACGTGCGGCAAAGGCGACGGCGACGGCTCCCACTCGCTTCCCCTCGCTCCAGGGGCTCAGTTCTTGGTGGCGCAAGGGGAGGCAAGCTCTGGTGGGATGGATGCCGAGGAGTTCGAACAACTCTGGATAAGCCAGGGGGCAAGGGCGGGGCGGCCACGCACCGTCGACAGTTTCAAGATGCAGATGAAGACCGCTGAAGCGGCGTACGTGGCTCTATTTTCCCAGCGTGCCACGACAGCCCACATGCAGGTGCAGGAACTCTCAGAAACTGGAGCGCGCGGTGAGTCATTTCGAGCGCTTGTTGGAGGGCCTGGGGCGGCAGCGTCAATGGGTGGTTCAAGTGGCTAAGGGCTTGGGCGATCGAGACAAGGAGCACCGCGGGTTAGTCATGGAGCGCAATGCGGCAGTTGTGGACCTGGACCTGGTCCCTCATTGTGGTTGCGCTCGGTGTCGCCAGCATCTGGGGCGGCTCTAGCCCGCTGTCCTTTGCGGGCTTGGGCTTCGAGGGCGGCGAGTATGAGATGTTTGAGAATGAGAAGGAGCTCGAGGCGCGGACCGCGAGTCTGCAATTAAAGCTCGCGGTTGCTATCGAGACCATGTTCGGGCCTGTAGCGGACAGGGCCCAGGCTCTCAAGCTGGGGCAGGAAACCAGGGGGGCGAGGCTTGCAGGCAGAAGGCGACGGCGCGATGGCGAGGCAGTGCCAGCAGCGGCCGCTGGAGATGGAGAAAAGGGCGCGGAGGTCTCCGCTCCTTCGCAGGCCAAGGGAAGTCAGGGGGCGCAGGCCTCATCGTCAGTGGCCGACGGCGAACGGCGCGCGTCCAACATTCTTCATGCGCAACCCCGCAGGCGACCGCCGAGGGCGGTCCATGGAGGCGGAGTCGCCCCAGGTTCGTCTGGCGCCTGATGGCGACGTGGCTGGGTAGTCAGGGCTATCCGCCAGGTTCTGCGACTCCTGCGTGGTGGGCCTGGACCGGCCTGGCGCGCGCTTCAGCGTGGCGGCTCGGCGCCGACTTGCACCTCGGCAAGCTCCGTCGGCCTGGCAACCGCGCTGCGGCGTCTCCGATGTCGGGGCTGCTGAGAAGCAGGGGGGCCCTCGCGGTGGGCCCTTGCGCGAGGCGCCCCCTTCCCAGGTTTAGGGGGGGCCGCTGGCGGGCGTTCGTTCGTCTTTTCGTTCGTCTTCGGCCAGCGGCTTGGCTGAGGCTGCGAGGGGGGCCCCGCGGCAGGGCAGGGCAGGAGGAGAAGCTGGCGTCGCCGCAGGCTGCTGCTCATCGCGCTGGGTTTCGTCTTCCTGGACTCGGCGCAGTGCCTCCTGGAGGGCCCGCTGGCGCCCCGCTGGCGGCGCGGGCGGAGGTGGGGGCGGCCGAGCTCGGCGAGGGCGGGGGCCGCGCGCCGCTCCTGGATCGCCGGGGGCCAATCTCGCCCACCGCGGGCGCGGGGCGCCCGCCGCCGCCCGACGCTCGCGAAGATGATCCTGGGACAGAATTTCGCGACCGTGCTGTCGCTGGAGCGACGCGCTGGATTCCCGGCCTTCTCTGCGCGGGGTCGGGCGCCAGCTCGCGGGGCGCCCGGTGCGCCCCGTGCGTCGCGGAGTGTCTCGGGCCGCCGCGGCGCGCTCGCTGGGCGCGCGTCGCCTCCGAGGGTCGGTCGCTCGAGGGGCTCGCAGCAGACGTTTGTAGCGATGCTTGGAGTAGAGCCAGGGGGCCTCGTCGCAACGCCCTGTCCGTCCTCGACTGGCTCGGCGCCGGTGATGTCGGCCCGTGGCGCAGCATGATTGGCCGGCGCTGGGCCGAGAGCTCAGGCAGATCCAGGGGGATGTGAGGGGGCGCGCGGGCGATGGCCCCCCCCCCCCGACCTTCCCCCCTACTGCGGCGACCGGGGCGGCCAGGCTACTTCTAGTATAATGTCGTCCTGGGTGCCCTTGCGCGCCCGCGGCTGCGACGCCGCCTCTTTTCCGTCCATCGAGTCGTCGGACATTGGGGGCGTATGTCGCGAGGCTGTGCGCGCGGTGGTGCAATGCTTCGTGTGTGTGTGTGTGTGTGTGTGTGTGTGTGTGTGTGGTTTTTGTTTTGTTTTCTTTTCTCTCTTTCTCTCCTTCTCCTGGTATTTCCAGCTGGGGGCCGCGCGGGCGCGTCGCAGGGCCTTTGCGAGCTGGGCCGATGAGTGCGAAGCCCCTCTTCTCCTTCGCCAAGCCTGCGGAGGTCAATCGCCCCAGGGTGCGCAGGTTCGGGGCGACCGCCGCTGCGGCGCAGCGCATCGCCGACGATCAGATGGAGGGAGGGGCGAAAGTTTGGCTAGCCAAGGTTGTCTCGGAGATGGCCAGCGCTGATCCGTTTGATGGGGCAGGGTGTGGTTCTGTGCCTTTTGACCTTCGTCACCTCTCGGACCTCGGCGACGCCGCCGATGCGCGCGCTGCCCTCGCTGACCCCCCTAGCCCTGCCCTTCCTATCCCGCGCGTTGCTGATGTTCGAGGTGCCGCCGAGCGTTTCAGGTGGCGTGCTGGGCAGGGTGCCGGCACGCTGGCGCTTCGGGCCGTGTCTTTGCCCAGCGTCACCACCATCTCCCTGCTGATAATATATATATATATATATATATATGTGTATATATATATATACACATATATGTAGATCTATCCTGTGGCTGGCTGAGCAGCGGGGGCGTTGGCCTACTCGGCTCGCGGCGGTGCGCGCGGTCTTCTTGGCCGAGCCGAAAGGCGGATGGGGGCCGATCGCGGTGCTGCAAGCAGTCTCCCGTCTGTGGTCCCACTTTCCAGGGCAGCAGCTTCGCGAGTGGCTCTCGGCCCATGATCGGCCCTAGTTTGCTTTGGTGGCTGGCAAGACTGCGGTGGATGTCGCTGCGCGGGTCCTGCTTCGCGCGGAGGCCGCCCTCGCGTCTTCCGCGGGCGTGATCGCGGCCCTCGTCGATGTTGAGAAGTGCTTCGGCCGCATCTGCTGGAGGAGGCTTGTGGCTGCTTCCGTCGCGCGCCCAGGCGGCTTGCGTGGTTGCAGGTTACCTCCTACGCTGTCGTGGTCGGCCAAAGTGTCCTTCCAGGATGCAACTTTGCCGCGGCGGTGGTCCAGCTGTTGATGATTTCGGCCATGGATGACTTCTTGTAGCAGGCTGGGCCGCGGGAGCTGGATATCGCCACCGACTTCGGCTTCTCCCTTGTCGTCTTTGCGAGCGACCTGGCCTTCCAGATCGTTGCTGGCCTGAGGTGCTTGCGGCTGCTCTCGAACGTCACCGTCAGGCTCTTGTGCGACGCTCTCCTAGACTTGGGTCTTCCCGTGGCGAGGTCCAATGCCGTGCTTGCTGGCTCTGATGATGACATAGCAAGGTGTGTGGCTAGCAGGCTACAGCGCTACGGCTGTCGGTCTCTTCCCTTGCTTGAGATCTTGGGCCTGGAGGTGCGGGCGGGCAAATTGGCTGCGCCCGGGGTGGTGCGTGGGCGCATGCGTAATATCACCTGGCGTGCCGGGCGCTTCAATCGCCTTAATGCCCTGGGCTCCAAGTTCAAGAAGATCGCGCGCGCTGCCGTTGGCCCCGCCATCACCTATGGCCTGGGTGTCTTGTGGGGCCGCCGCATATCGTGACCCTGGTGGCGGTATTGGTGGAGCATGGCTGGGATGCTATGCCCAAGGGCAGCTTGCGCTGGATCGCCGCTCAGCGCCCGCAGTGCGTGGCCAGGTCGCATGGCGGTCGCAGTATCTCAAGGTGGCCTAGACATCGATTGTCAGCAACTGGATGCTCGTCGCTGGGTCAGCGGGGGCATTCGCGAGGTCCGCCCAACTTCTTGGGTGGACATGCTCATTGGCCTTTGCGGTGCGCGCGCGGTCGGGTGACATCTCTGACTCGCGTGAAGTGGCGCCGTCTATCGTCAGACGGGCGGCGCTGCAGGACCACGAGGCCGCGGGGTGGGAGCAGTGGGCCCTGCGGGGCGGCGTCATGCCTGAAGTGCCAGGGCCCCGACGCAGGTGTCCAGCTGGAGTATGGCTGGGACCTATTCGAGGGCTGCGGGGCGCGGGCGCCACGGCCTAGATGTGGGCGCCCGACCCGTGGGCGCGCGTGGCGTTGAGGACGGCGACCTTGGGTGGTCGCCTCTTTCAGCAGCGCCTGCGCCAGTTTGCCCGTGCCAGTCGCCCCGGCTGTCTGCGCTGCTGGGGGGGGTCGGGCGCCCCTCGTCATCGCTGCTGGACGTGCCCGACCACGGGCGAGCATCGAAAGCGCGCCGTGGACGAGGCCACGCTGGGCGCTGCGCTCAACGCGGCCCCTGGCGACCCTTGCGCCCAGGGTTTGTTCCCCAACTCTTTCCTCCCTGCTCTCGCCCCGCATGAGGAC